AAGTTGGAGCTTGGTAAATGATTCTCACCAGACATTGAATGAAGGGTTGTGAAAGTGAGGCGACAATAAAGGAGATCTCCTACTCTGCCCCAAGCACTGAGGAAGAATGCCTCAGCTCTGGGGGGGGGGCTGCCCTGTTTCTTTGCCCATTATGTGGTAAGAAGCATTTGCCTTTTTCCTGTACATTCCTACAAGGCATTGGTGACATCTGGATGCTGATTCCTTTGCTCGTTAGAAGCATTTTACAGATCTCAGAATCCATTGCTTGCTTTTTAACCTTCACACCAGCAGTGATGAGTCTTCACAGCCTTGGCACTTGGTCTTAGAATATTTTGTTGTAGTTTAGTGTGTGATATACCCTAATGACTAATAATGAGTGTTGCAAATCTTTTTTCTATTTTGCCATTCTTACATCTTCTTCAGTGAAGTGTCTGCTCAGGTCTTTTGTCTTAATTTTTTTTTTAAATGGGTTGTTTATATTCTTATCATTGAATTTTTATAGTCCTTTATATATTCTGCACGTGTGCCATTTATCACAAAACTATTTTACAAAGACTTTCTCTCAGGTTATGGCTGGATATTTTATTTCAGTAGAGTATTTTGAAGATCAGAAGTTATTTTGGCAATATGCAATTTCATTGTTTGTGGTTCACGTTATTTGGGTGCTATAGGAACGTGACAGACGATCTAGATCCATTGGTTATATTCTAGAAGTTTTAGCTCATATTTAGATCGATGGCCTATGTTAATTTTTATATATGATGTGGCAGGATTTAGGGGACACGGGACCTCAAATCTCAATTATAGTTTATGGAGAACAACATTTTTTTAGTCTCAAGCAGAAAAGACAAAGACCATCTGGATGAGGGAGACCTTCAGCACAAGGTCATAATGGTATCAAAGGATTTACAGGGAGCTGGCGACCTAAATAGGACATGAGAGGACAAAGGAAACTGTCACAAAAACATGATTGGTGTCAGGTCAAGACATCACAGTTGCAGGCTGGACTACAGAAATCGGAATGGGACCGTGATTGGGACACATGTTAGACTAAAGAGCCTACAGGATTGGCTCAAGCAATCTCCAACCAAGGCAGTCAGGATCTGACCATGACGATGTGACCCTAGGACCCCAGAGTTCTATCAAGGACACACCCAAGCAATCCCTAAAGACTAGGCGGCCCCTCCCGGGACTGGCCAAGAAAGTGGTAGTAATTTACTTTTTAATACACTCTGCCGGAAGGCCATGCATAAGGCTTTCAGTGGCTGCTTCCTCTCAAGTGGAGAGCTGAGTGCTTCTTCTTCATTGTCTGCTCTTAGTCTAGAAGGTCTACTGAAACCCATTCACTTTGGGTGACCCTGCTGGTATTTGAAATACCAGTGACATGGCTTTCAGCAAGACAGCAACACACAAGCCCCTACAGTACCACCAACCGAGAGAAGACCAGTCTCTGGAGAAGGACATCATGTTTGATACAGTAGAGGGGCAGCGAAGGAGAGGAAGGCTCCCAAAGAGATGGACTGGCACCATGGCTGCAGCAGTGGGCTCTGCTCGGGCATGGGAACAATGGTGGGGTGGAGATGGAGGATGGGATTAGGGAGTGGCACAAAGGGCATCAAAGCAAACGGTAATGTTTCATTTCTTAAGGCTAGTTGGTACTGTTACTGTGTTTGACAGATGTTTCATATGTCTTCAGTAACATCTGTTAATGTGCATGATGCAGCAGACTAAAGAGACCCGCGGTTCAGAGGTTCTCCTCAGTTGATAGCGGGCAGCATCTGGAGGTTGAGGCTGTGCCATTGTGGAATGGGGACCAAAGAAGGCGGAGGAGCCAGAAAACACGAGGAGGTGCCCGCAAAAGCTTGCTTCTCAAGTCAGTTCTCTACAATGAGGCTCCAGATAGTTTTGCTCCAACCTTTTCTAACATCAGGGAGATTCATATGCTTATGTAACAACCAATCACATTGTTCCAGTTAGATATAAAATGCTTCAAATTACTCACTTACAAAATTTTTTCCCATAATGATTCCCCTTCCGATAGTTCAGGTGATAATTAATCTAGTAATACCAGATTGTATTTCCCGCCCCCCCCAAAAACAACCATGCATCTAGGCCAGTGTAAACAGTGTAGCCAGACAGGGAACGTAGTGCACTAGATGAAAATCATTACCTCTGCCGTCGGGCAGGCCCTTGAGGCACGTCCACATCCAACTGAGCTGTGTAAATGGCCATGCGGGAGAGCTCTTTCTGAAGTTACGGATTGGGGATGGGGGTGAGGAATGAATGCTGTTTACCTCACGTCTCTGTGGGGTCAACATTTATAACCCCTTCCTTCTGCTTCCACCCCCTGCTGAGGAGGATCATTTCCACCCCAGACGTGCCGAATCCGAATCCACATCTGCACAAGATCCCAGTTAATAGTGCCATGGTGAGGGCCGCGCAGGGCCAGGCAGTGTTGTACACCAATAAGGTCGCTATGGGTTGTGTTGCAACCAAACCAACAGCACGTAACAACTACACACCTGGGGCTATATAGCGGTCACCTCAAGGTCTTGTTCCAAGGCATCTACGTTGTAGATTTTGACTCCATATGGGAGAGGTGGAAACGAGCCAGTATGAAACCTGCTCAGGAGCTCCTTGATTCTACCTGCGGCCTCTGGCTAGCCCCACTAGTCACAATGGATTAGAGAGACTGTAACTCTTTACAGGAATCGAAAACCCCATCTTTTCTCCTTCCGAGTTGGCTGATGGGTTTAAACTGCTGTCCTTGCTATTAGCAGCACACAACACATAACAGCTATCCCAGGGACCTGAAGATACTTTCAATATCATTTCAGGATCGAGAGATATGTAGACACTTAACTACAAGACAGAAACAAGACATTTTGAGACTTAGAAAAAGGAATCCTTCTAAGGGGAACAGGGTGGGACATCAGAGAAAATAGAAATTTTAGTTACTCTTAAAAAGTTGGAGCTTGGTAAATGATTCTCACCAGACATTGAATGAAGGGTTGTGAAAGTGAGGCGACAATAAAGGAGATCTCCTACTCTGCCCCAAGCCCTGAGGAAGAATACCTCAGCTCCCCAGATGGGGTTTCAATTATTTTTTAATTGTTTGGCAATATAACTATATTGTCTGAAGCAAAACTTGGGACATACCATGTGGTGAGGTGAGAGAGAATCTTAAACTGCAGCTTCCCCAGGAAAATCCAAGGGATATAATGATGATATTCCGATTGAACGTTAATGGTGGAAATGCAAATGTCCTTAGTTGATCTCATCAGACATTGTTCATGTTCATGGAACTGGTAACTGCTGTCAGGTACAAAGATCAACAGTTGAAAAGCAGCTGTTGCGGAGGATGACTAATGCTAATCTTATGAAAAATAAAGAATTCAACGTTTTAAAAGACTCCTATAATTCTACAAGAAACATATTTGTTGCACTTGTCGTTAGATGCTGCTGAGTCGATTCCGACCCACAGCAACGCCCTGTGTATGCATGAAAGAATGAGACAGCCCCGTCCTGCGCAGCCCTCACAAGTGTGGGGATGAGGCACTTAGTAGTAACTGAAAATTTCCAACATGCCTTTTTTTTTCAAGCCTGGAAAATGTCAGGTAAGGAAAGAACTATGCATGTAAAGAGCAGTCCGGCTGGAAGTTCATGAGAATGTTTACGTTGGTTTTCATTGAATGCTAGAATTGAGGATAAGTTTTACATTCAACTTCATGATTTCCCTCTTGGTTTTGAAAGTATCTTTATACTAATAAAAATGAAAATGAAAGCCCAACATGATAGACCATCTCACATTAATGCTACTCGCTTGAAACCTCAGATGTGCGGCTCATGAGGTAAGAGGCTATAGCGCCTTCATTCCACCTGTATGTCACCATGTCCTTGCCCCTCTCGTGGACTAATTCCGCTGACGTCATTGCAGGATGGCTCCAGACAGCATGGAGGCATTTTGGGAATGGTCTCCCAAGCAGCGGCTTTGAATGGTGAATCGCTTTTGGATTTACAAGCATATGGCCGACAGGTAAGCAGGACAGCTAGATCATGCTTCCTCTGTGCAGCACTGGCTATTGGACAGCAACTCTGTCAGGAGATAGAGGCGTGCTTGTTTTTAAATGAGGCTGAAAGTAGCACACTAGGAAAGATCAGAAAGAGAGGGACATCCTGTCTTCAGCGGACAGTAAAATTTCAGTGTATTCTGGACATTATCAAAGAAAATCACTCCTGGATACACCTGAAGATTGAAGATGCAGAAGCCTCAGTGATTATCTTTTTGGAAAATGCTTATTCTCAATTTCTTAATTCTTTGAAGTGGTCATAAAATTTGTCAGTATGTGGCCACCAACTAGTACATTTCTAGCTTTCAAATAACAATCCTTTGGGTATGTACAAATGTCACATAAGTTCTATTATCCAGATAAGATAGACTATGGTATTATTCAGTAATTGAGACAAGAGAAATACCCAATTTTGTGGAATCAAACTCGGGTATCTAAAAGTATCCGGCCTAATAATGTTATCCGTTAGCGAATGACTGGCATTTGATTTTAGAGACATAGTGTAAAAACGAGAGGGGTGAAATCTAGAACTTGAAATACCAGGTTAATAATTGTGCTCTGTCACGTACAAATATGTTTTGCCTTGAAGCCTGATGCAATCATTTAAGCTCCCTTGAGCCTCATCTGTTAAAAGGAGCGGGAGAAAAGCCTGATAGTGTTGAGGATTTTGTCTATTGTTCTAAGAAACAAAAGGACTTTTGGAAACAAAGGCCAGCAGGGAATGGAAGGTGCTATTGTTATAATATGTTACCGTTGGGCAAGGGCAGGTGCTCCACATGTGCGCTTGTTTCAGATAGATTCTGTGCAGGTGAAGAGATGTTTGTAACCCAAACGTAAAACCACCCTCTCAAACGTGGATCTTTCCCGAGCACCTAAATTAACAATCAAACTGAGTCTACAGCTGTCAAAATAGCTACATCATCCTCCACTCATCCCTTCTCTCCCACCCAACCAGGGGACAGGCAATTCAAAACTTTACTTCTAGACTATAGGGAAAAATTACTCAGTCATCAGGCCTTTCTCCCGCTCCTTTTAACAGATGAGGCTCAAGGGAGCTTAAATGATTGCATCAGGCTTCAAGGCAAAACGTATTTGTACGCGACAGAGCACAATTATAAACCTGGTATTTCAAGTTCTAGATTTCGCCCCTCTTGTTTTTTACACAATGTCTCTAAAATCAAATGCCAGTCATTCACTAACAGATAACATCATTAGGCCGGATACTTTTAGATACCCGAGTTTGATTCCACAAAATTGGGTATTTCTCGTCTCAATACTGAGTTCCCATTTAAATTGAGAAAAGTAGGTGAATCCTAATGTGGAGGACCCAGTTCAAAAGTGAAATGATATGAAACAGTAATTGGATTAGTAGTTTCTTAAGAGTACGGCAGGGGATGCTGGGTGTGGTGTGTGGGGCTAATCATGAGTACAAGAATGAAGAAAATGTCCTGAAATTGATTGTGAGGATATCTGCACAACTCTTTGTAATATGTTGAAACCATTAACATGTATGCAAATTATATGTTAACAAAATTGGGGGGAAAAAGGTGAAATGGGTAAGTTGAGTCTGTGAAAATTCATCAAAAAGTACATTCACCTTGTCTGCTTTTCTTTATGTATGCTATAATGAACGCAGTATTATGTTAATAAAAAGCACAAATGAAGTGATAGCTGTCTGTCTTACCTTGAATGTCTTTTACGAGACAAAAATTTCCAGAATTAACTCTGAAAATTGGTTTCAAAGCCTACCTGGTGCTATTCCAAGTACATAGAAGCCTTAGAACATGAGAGGATTCTTCTTAAAATTCAAGAAGAGCTAGAAAAAAAGTTAATGTCAGGTAATTTTTGCTTTGCTCTCTTTTATCACAGATTAATTTCAGAAGATTTTTGCCAGTGATTAATTTATGTTTTCTTGATTTCTCTTATTTTTATGCAGCCACACCATCTGTTACAAATTTTAAACCTAATGCTTCAAGTATGTCTTTGAAAAGAGGCATGTCTTCCCACATCTCCCAGAGTGAGTTTCTGGCAACAGTTGCTCTGCAGTTCGTTCCTTCTGTGTGGAGCTCTGCCTCTCCGACAACCATCCAGGCATAGAGGGCAGGGAGCGACGCGGGCCGACCCCTCGCCCCAGCTGTTCTGACCCCCAAATTGGGAGGACTTCAAGGGTTGTATGTCCCTGTCTCTCTCTTTTTCTGCCTCTTGTTTTGCCTCCACTAACGAAGAGGAAAGACTAAGAGGTGTGCTCTTGTATTCTCACTTGCGGAGTGAGAGGACCGGTGTTTATACGCTGCTGCAGACAGGTGTCGGCTAAATCATGGCCAGATTGTTGGGCAGCCCTGCCCCGTGTCCCTCTAACACACACATACCGGCATGCAGTGCACACCCACGAGCCCACACACACATATACAGACCCAGGACAAGCAGTAGCCCCATGCCTCCCTTCTGAATAGCAGTCTCCTGGCCTCTGGAGATGGCACCGATTGTCCTTTTGACTCCATATCTGTCTCCACCCAAACCCAAACCCATGTATGGCTCTAGTTCAGTTTACCCAAGCTCAGCTTTTCCAAGTTGGGAAATCTATGAAGGAAATGAAAAGGAAGAACTAAAAACGAAGCCAATGACCACTCTGCCAAACCGCGACTGGTGTGGTTGACGATACAATTTTGGTGGGGTTCCGGCTCTGGAGCTCACCGGCGCCTTTATGAGGGAGGAGCGTAGTGTCCTGTAGAAGAGATGTGACTCAACGACGCGCTACTGGAAAGGCCCTTTAAAAGTCTTTCTCTTTTGTCTTGCAGCTTAACCTTTTGGTTTCTTAAAAGCCTCAGTTCTCTGGTTCTTGGGCGGCTGCAGTCGCTGGCCCTGGCGTTCTTGCCTTCTTGTCTCGTCGGAGTGCCCCTCGCCACTTTCTGAAGGCCCGCACACTCCCCACTCGTAGACCAGCCCATCGCATTCCCACCACTCAGGGGGTGCTGGCACATCTGTTAACTTTTTAAATCCTCACAACCACTCCGTGGGAGTTTTTTGTTGGGATTTTACATTTTCTATAGCTTCTTAGGTTTTCATCTGTTTTTCTTTTTTTACAGGGATTCTTTAAGGCAGACTTAACTCACATGAGAAGCTCAAGTAATTGGGTCTGCATTAGAGCAAGCTCACCACGGCAATAAAGTTTGACTTGTTCTCTCCCATTGTTTTAAAATCAAAGCGCTTCTGCACACCTGGTACGTAAGACTATACATGTTGAAAGGCATCTTTCAAATAAGGTGACTATTATCCATGTTAGAAGAATCTAAATGTTCTGTTATTCATGGTCCTTAAGAAAGTAAGATGGCATGGTCCTCAAGACATCATTGAGCACATAGTCCTTGAACCCTTCCTGCCTCTGATTAGCAGATATATTCAGTAGATTGCTGGGGGATGAACCTTCCTAGCAGTCAATCAACCCAGGACATAATGGGAAGATCTTCCCCCATCCCAGCTCCAATTCTAAAAGGATCTTAATAAATTAAAGCAGGGGTTCTTACATTTTAGTGTGCATCCAACTTGAGTGTGGTATTTGCTGGCAATGCAGGTTCTTGGGCCCATTCCCCAAGAGTTGGATCCAGCACTTCTCAGGTAGGGCCCAGGAAGCTCTGTAACAGGCACCCCCCAGGTGATTGTGATGTAGGTGCCTTAGGAACCACCCCGAGATAAACTATTCAGGTAGCAAGGAAAGAGCTTTGAAAAGTGAAAGCCCCCTATTGACTGGAGCTATACTTGTCCAGAGAGAGGCCTCCCATGCTGTGCTCTGGAGGGAAAGGGGGAAATGGGAGGTAGTGATCGGGGAGGATGAACCTTTACCATCTGTGGCTCACATGTCTCAGGAGCTCTGGAAACTATGACCTGGATTAACAATCAGATCTGCCGGAAGCTCTGGCCTTCCACTCTTAGGTGGTCTCAAAACATGTGTTCAAGGGAGAAACTACCACTTCTAATTCTCCAAGGAGACATTTTAAAGGGGAAGCACAATTCCCAGTGTCAGAAGACAGGCCTGAGTGGATCTTAATTCTAAAGCAGGGATTGGGGACACTTTGAAACAAATAAACATTGGAACCTTGCAGTTCTGCCCCGTCCCCTCCACCGTCACCAGCTACTACCACTTTCTCCCCATTGCCCCATTCTCTTAAAGTATTAGAGTAGCCTAGTCTGTTTGACTCCAGAATACGACTAAGAAAATAGATAGCTTATCATCTTAGTGTGTATTGTGTTATAGATAATAAATTGGCATTATAATATCTAGTTGTCCAAGGAGCCCCTAGGTGGTGCACATGGTTAAGCAGTCCATTACTAACTAAGAGGTTGGCAGTTCAAACCCACCCAAGGGTTCATGGGGAGCCAAGGAAGGATTTGTTTCCCCAAGGTCACAGACATCCTTGGAAACCATGAGGAGCAGTTCTGCTCTGCTGTGCACACTCGGGGTCACCTTTAGGCATTGACTTGAGGGCCACTAACCACAACCATCGACTTCGTTCGTTTCACCTTCCCTACAAAGCCTCCCCCAGCAAAGGCTACTTTCAATGTTTCCCATCAGAGGTAATCTCCGTACATCAGGGGGCCCAGGACTTTGGACAGAGTTTCCTCTTAGCAGTTCTCCAATGCTTCTCCTCCACACAAGCAAGCCTATTGGATACTTGTCTTCTTCTGGATCTTTATCACCTTGAGTCAGGGGCCTAACTAGTTTCCCTTAGACAGAGCTGGCTACCTTGCTATCCTCAGAGTGACTTTTTCTAAAATGCAAACTTTATTATATCCTGCTCCATATATCTAATTCTTCTTTCTGATTATTGGTAAGCCCTTAATGGATAAAAATCAAGTCCCTTCATTAGCACGACGTCTGTATAAGGCCATCCTGTCTTCCAATGTAAACAGAAGAAGCCATCTTTGATGTGCCTCGCTTTCCCTGTTGTATTAGTCTGGGTACTTTGGAGAAACAAATCCACAGCAACTCATGTATAAGAGAGAGTTTTATGCAAAGAAAATGTGCATCACGAAAACATCC